TTTAATGCAATCACATATAATCTACACTCTTAAAAAAGATGGTTCCTCAAGGGTTCTTTAATAAATGAAGTGGTTCTGTAGAGGACCATGAACACTCAATGAACTCTTTGCATGATTAAATGGTTCTTTGCATGGTGAAATGGTTCTTCAGATTGATGGAGAATGTGTTGTGTTTGTTTCTATATAGCACCAAAAAATGTTTTATTGTAACAATGTTTAGTTTGTAACAACGGAACCCTTTTTGGTGCTATATAGCATCCTTTCCAAAAAGGTCCTAACTAGAACCATCTACAGCACTCCATCAAGGCATAAAGTTGCAGGTCTGGCCAACAGGGGGTGCTCTCTTCTCCCTGAAACTGCCTATGATGTTCAGGTGCAATTTTGATGGATTTGTTTGTTTAATATTTTCTAATGGTAATATTTTATTTAAATTATATTAGTGATTGACATGTCATCTTAGTCAATAACATATATTTATAATTCTTCTTTTCTTTTTCTTTCAGTTAAATTTCATTGTGTTGTGTTGGTTCAGCTCCTGGACTGCGTTACTGGACTGGACTTTGGAGCTTTAGCATTTCAATTAGACCAAAATGATCCAAAAAGAGAAGAACAGAGCCAAACAAACTTCACTTCCTATACTGATAGATGCTGGATGTACTAAGAAGATCTACTGCAGTTCTATAAAGAACTCAATACTGGACAAAATATGACTTTTTGATAAGTACTTTTATTTCTACTAAATGCTTTAAGTGGAGGATGATCACAACTGTAGGAGGAGCCTTATTGTAGCCACGCCCCTGCATTTGGAGCAGGGAGTAAGACTGCATCCCTGTCCCTCATGGCCACATGATGAGCAGTTAGATCCCATTGTTTTGAAGTAAATTTGACCCAAAGTCTGAAAATCAGTGTTTCAGATGAGCTACAGTGAAACAGAATAGAGGCATTATGCCAAGTTTTACACAGTTGACAGACTAATCTATCATTAGAATACTTGAGTAAATGTTATGTAATCTTGTCACATGAAACCCAAATGGTGGGTTTTATTCATTATTTGTATTCATTTATTCATATTTAATGCCTTGTAGACCACTTTCAGTAATTAATTTATTTATTAATTTTTTAAGCTTTACATTGTTGGGAGTGGGCTTTACACATACAAGAAGGCTTTTGATGGCCCTCCGTGACTACGTCCGTGCCACTCTTGGGTCCTCCACCCTTATACCGGTCTAGACAGGCCTCTGTCCTGACTGATTTGTGATCACTCCAGTTTTCAGTGGGCTGCAGGCCCAGCTAGAGATTCTCAGATCTTTCTGCTGTAACTCACTTCATTTTTCAGTCTGACTTCGTTCACACTGAGTTACATTTCTGCCTGTTCAGTCAAGACAGCTGATCACTGTTCTGCTTTTCACTGCTGGAGCAGAGAGTACAGTGAGGATGAGGATGATGAAGAGGAGTATCAGTACAGCTGTGTGCAGAGTCTTTATTGCTGATCTAATAAACAACCATTATTTAACAAAAACAATCAGTCAATTAGCAAAAAGCTATCTGATAGTGAAGTCAAGCAAAAAAGCGCAAACCATGCTAAACATTCCCTACATAAAAACAAAATTTGGTTTAATAACCAGATGGCTAACAGGCTACTCCAGTAATGTTTAGAGTTTAGATTTAAGATAAAATATTTACTGAAGGATTCACTAAAATCCAAACATGTTCAAACATGCTGTCATTTCTAAAGGGCCCACTTATGACATAAACCCATTTCTGTGGGTTTATGCATCAACAACAGTTATAATTTATGCAGTCTGTGCTGAAACCCTCCTTAGAACTTCAGTGTGAACTCTTGTAGTGGAGTATGCAGATGTGCATCTGTTTCAGAGACATCACAAAAACAGTTTATTCCAAATGAGATGTATTTGCAGCTTAATTTTCATATATGGACTACTCCTAATAAAAAAAAAATCTGTTTTCCATGTATTTTTTCATACTTATTGTGTTTGCTTTCCATCCAGCCTGAAAAACATGTAAATATTTTAAAAGCGTGAATAATATTGGCATATTAGTTAGTGAGCTAGCTGTATCACTCCTGTGCAATGATGTAACTCCAGTGTTATTTGGCTGAATAATAACCTAATAAAGAATGTAAGTCAATTAGTCAGCAGGCCATAAACAGTAGTAATCATATACTAAATATACACAGTAAATTAACGCACACACACACACACACACACACACACACACACACACACCTAGGGGCAATTTAGCCTGTCCAATTGGCCTGACTGCATGTCTTTGGACTGTGGGATGAAATCAGAGTACCCAGAGGAAACCCACACAGACACGGGGAGAACATGCAAACTCCACACAGAAAGGACCCTGGTTGCCCGGCTGGGGAATCAAACCCAGGCCCTTCTTGCTGTGAGGCGACAGCGCTTTGACTGTTGTAACTACATGTAATCAATTGTTGCAAACCTGTAATAATGCATGATTAACTCGAAATGAAACAGAATGCTAGCAAAATGGAAGCTGGGGTTCTAAAACTTTTTCACCACAAGATCCTTCTGTTCATCAGTAGCATGCATGAAGGCCCAAATTCATTTTTGAGAAATTTTCAACACAGCACTATGCGATTTGTATCACTGAACATAAAACATCAACAGATTATTATAAGCTTGTTTTATCCCTGAATTCAGGCAAAATGGTGACAAATTAAGCAAAATGTTTCACTCACGAGTGGACAATTGAAATAGTTGGGGGTGCATTTTGTTTGCAGACTTCTTTGTGCACCGCTATTGCAGGGCTTGTATTAATATTGTTTACTGTTTGATAATATTTATATTTCTTTCACAGATTTTTAAGGCAAAGTGCCATCACCTGCCCACTACGGCCCACTGACTCCTCCAATCAGGGGTGTCCAATCTTATCTGCAGAGGGCCGCTGTGGCTGCAGGTTTTCACTCCAACAAAGCAGGAAGTCGCCTGATGAAATGTTTGAAGACTAAGACCACGTGATTAAACAAGTAGAATCAGGTGTGCTTCAACTTGTTCGGAGTGAAAACCTGAAGCCACACTGACCCTTTGCGGATAAGGTTGGTCACCCCTGGTGTAGATGGATGAATCAGCAGAGTTTTAGTTGTAAATGTTATTTAATCTTGTGAAATGACTGACATAAAAGACAAATTTTGTTAATCACTGATGGCCCTTGCCTAAATCTGTAACCCCCCAATAATAATATGTTCCTCCTCTGCCCACCTCTGGTTTTATTTAGCATGTCTTCCTACACTCTCAAAGTTGCAGTGTGAGCAAGTCAGTAGAATGAAAAAGATTTATTAGGTGATTACAACAAAATGCAGGAACAATCACACCCTGATACTGACATCAACAGCCTTACTGACAAGAACAGTCGCACAACAAGGTGTCAAGCTTGCTTATTTTTTTTTTTTTACTTTTTCTCTTGGTGCTGCACATGATAGTGAAGAAAAACTCAGAACAAGAATTACACCGTTCATTGTAAGTGGTGTGTCCACACTTTTCACATAATTATATATAGCATTTGATTCATAACATAAATCATCAGTCAGTTAACCAGGACTTTTTCCTTTTTTGTGCTGATTCACATATTCACACTTCATGTTGCTCTTCATGCCTTTGCTCGTCAGTTTGTAAACAACGTTACAATCACTAAGCTCAGGTAAAGTTTTAAGCTTTTCACTTTCAAACTCTTCGTAAGGTGGTATCAGTATTTCATCCTCATCTGGAACGACTGATAGGTCAGATATAGGGGCACCATGACATGTTGAGATGACAAAACATGTCTCTTTTCCATAACTCATGAACTTCGGGCTGTATGGGTTGCATGTTGAAGATGTAAAAGCACCAAAACGCACACGCTCCCCTTTAATGGTAATGGGAACTGTTGTGCGACGGTAAGTGGTTCGGCACGTGGCCTGAGGATTACGTGCTTGTATGGCATCCGTTATCAGAAAATGTAAAGAGATCAGTCCAAAATCCGTGGTGTAGTGGTCTTTACCCTCACGCATTTTATTATTAAGGTCTCTGTAAATGTGCTTTGTGGTGTATGCGCAAAGGGCCATCTCCTGTAGGCTGGGATTTAATTTGTCTTTTTTTTTAAGGCTTTCTTTGGCTTCGTCCCAGGCCGTTTTGAAGTCCTTATTCAGTCCCAGTTCCCTCTCCAGTAAAGTTATAACAACATGCTCATACATTTCTTTGTTGCAACCCACAAAAGCATCATCAATGGAATTTTCATAGTGACCCATTTCGATCTGAAAATAGAGATAATATATTAACATAAATAACAATGATAAATGCAATATGTCTAGCAGCCAACATCTTAAGAGATCTCAGTCTTGACTGCACAGTAACAAAAAAGGCCTGTTGGTCATGATGTGAAATGAATCATGACTGTTTTTGGTGCATAAAAGAACATAATCTTCATAGGTGTATCTCAGTGAAAAAATTAAATACAAGGGAATGTAGGTTATGGACTTCTTAAACATAAACAAAAACTACAAGAACTAAGAAAAACACAAAGCAGATACAGATACATCAACACCAGACCAGGCAAAGAGGCAGGGAAATACGAGGGCTACTCATACAAAAAAAAAAAAAGTAAACCAGGAACACCTTATCTAACAAACTATGTCGGGCACCCAACATCCCAGCAACAGCAGCAGTAAAAACGAGGTGGGACTAGATAGGAGACATGGAAGGCTGGAGAGAGCGGAGCTAGGAGGGGAAACCAAGACAAAAGGTAAATCTGTAATTTTTGTCTACACAATAATAGTTTATGCGAAGCTCAGAAAGGTGCCTCTAATGTCCAAGATAAAAATGCATTAGGTTAATTCACAGTAACTGTAAATGTCAGTAGGCTGTTAAGCCCCTTTAGCTGTTCACAGCTTCTCCTCACTGTGCTTCTTGCTCAGTGGAGAATGCACCATTATAACACATTTATAAAGTGTTACCAATAGGTACTTGGAACTCCAGCATCACAATAAGTGACAATGCATCATGTCTAATCTTGTTGTGTTCCTAACTGCAAGCCCAGAAGCTGCTGTTGGCTCAAACAAATCATCTAATGAGTTCTTTCATTTTATCCTGATCTTTTTGCCAAAGCAGGTTAGATAACTACACAGCTGTGCACTTACTCCCAGAGTCGTGTGTACAGTGAGGATGAGGATGATGAAGAGGCGAATCATTGCAGCTGCGTTCAGCGTCTTCATTTTTAACCTAAAGTGAACAGAAAGCAGGTGGATCACTGTAATAAATAAATAACAAGACAATCTGATCTATAATGTCTGTAATTGTAAACGAAGAGAGACTCATTTTCCTCCTGATCTTTTCTATCTTAGACATAAAATCCCAAACTATACTGAAGATTAAAGAAGTTGAGGGAACCACCAACTCCAGCTATACCCAGCTGTCTATTAATGGGCTCTGTTGGTTATCTTAAAGTGAAATGAATGTCTTGGTCAGTGGTGATTCTGTGCAGTCCACACTCATGTCCAGTTTGCTAAATTGAACTGTGATTGTAAGTACATTTACAAATATTGTTACTGAGAGAAAAAAGGCTCATTATCCACAGTTAGCATTTGGCAAAAAGTTTAGCTTGGATAACAAAAATACACCAGAGTGCTTTTGGAGTTATAAAACGCACAAACAAATACAAGATCATAAAAGCCAATAAAAAGCTTTCAAAGCACACAGCACTGTGCTTCTCCTGTTATGGCATCTGTTTCAGTTAAAGACAACAGTGGCAAACAGTGAACATCTCATAATTGATTCTTTTATGGTATCTAATATTATGCTGCAATTTGAAAGGGAAATTTTATATTCATTACACTGTTTTCCTGCTTAAAGGAGAATCCCACTGATATTTCAAAATTTCAAATAGTTAATATGTAATCAGAGTCATTCAGAGTGGTTTGGTGTGAAACGCTCTGTTCTAGAGAAACTTACCGAGTCAGAATTTCTCACAGTGGTGCTGATAGGAACAAGACGTCCACCTCTAAAAGCTCCCTCACAGAATGTTATGACATGAGATGGTTATGAATTCACTGCCTGATGTCTAAGACACTGTTTTATGATAGGTTTGAGAAGATTTTGGCCTTAAAATCAATTCATGGTGGAGGGATACATAATATAGCAGGATGTTTTTAGGCAAAATAGTCCCCAAAGAAAACATATTATGTCAGATTTTCCACTACTGTCCCATCATCAACATTCCATTCTCAGAAGGCGTCTAGGTTCACTGGTGGTTTTGGATAGTAAATAAAATGTCTATATTTGTGTTGTAGTCATGACGACCCCTGGTTCCTATCACCACCACTGTAAAGAAGTCTGAACCATTTCATACCAAACCACTCTGACATCTCAACTGCTGAATTATGCGAAATTATAAAATTACTGATTCAGTGGAATTCCCCTCTAACCAATCATTGTTCCCAACTAATATAAATATATAAATTACATGAAACATGTAAAATGATCATACTTGCCTTGTAATCAGGTAGATGCCGCTTCTGAACCGTGGAGCTGTCTGAGGTTTTAATTAGTCAGTCATGGTGCCTCTTTCAGAAATTTGCATCAAGTTAATTCTCATGTCTACATGTTTTGCATTTCAGCTGATAGAGCTGAATAGTTTACTCTCAGTAACTGCTGTTACGATTAGAGTTATCTTTAGGAGTAAGAACAAAAATACAGTTCTCTTACAGGCAAAGGTATGTGTGTGTGTGTGTGTGTGTGTGTGTGTGTGTGTGTGTGTGTGACAAGAGTGGTTCAGCTTTTCATGTCTTTTAAAATGTGAGAACCTGAAAATATAAATATTAGAACTATATTGGGATTCAGTTCCATTATAATTCTTAATAGAATGTGAAACATCATAACAAGCTGACTTCAGGTAAATTTTAAATATTGCACCAATCAGAAAAGGTTTAACTTAAATGTCAGTTCACATTATAATTAGTGATAATTAGTGATTGAGCACTGCAAAGCAATTAGTCTGATTTATATTGCTGGTGTTGGAAGAAAACCCCGCATCTCCAAAATGGTAACTTTACCCATAATAGAACCCTTTTTGAAAAGAGTTCTATGTATTAACAAAAGGGATCTTCTATTGCTACAACGTCAAGCTTGTCACAATAGAAGAACCCTTTTTGGTGTTGTATAGAACCATTTTCTCTACTAAAGAACCCTTGACCTTATCAAGCCAGCGGAACGATATGTGCTCGCTATCTGGGCGGTGTGCTCTTAAGCTTTATTTTCTAGACTCCATTTGTACAGCTGTTACCAACAAGAACATATTAGACTTTGCTTTAAGGCACAACTGTGCCACCTTGTAGTTTTTCTTGAGGCCAGCACACGTTTTGTTAATGTTTTCACTATAATACTTTTTTCCTTTGCTTTGTTCAAATTCATCAATGCATTTCAGATACGCATCCTTATAGATCTGAAACAAAACAACACCAGCAATGCTTGTTCATAAGCAGATTAACATTAATAATACTGCTAAATGTAACAGCTGCATATTCAGCATATTTTAAGACGTCAACAAATGACATCGTTAAAGTTCTCTGACGGGGAATTCCACCAATATTTTTGAATTTCTGCAAGATTAGGCGATGAAGATGTAAACAAAGTCATTCAGAGTTGCTCAGTTCTAGAGAAACTTACCAGCAGTTTGAACTAATTCAATAGAATGGTCCATGTAGGTTTATGCCAGTTGTCATGAAAGGTTTATGTAGGTGTTGTAAACTTATGAATGCTGCCCTTCATTCAGCCCTAGTGCACACTGCCATGAAAGCAAAACTGGGATATACTGAACACTAAGAAATTCATGCAAAGATTCTTACTTTTGACTCATTTTGTTATGCTCATAATGTAATTTGTAATGACAAATCTTGGATTAATAATGCAAAATAATAATAATGTGCTTTAACAGATCTTAATAGATCTTTAATCTGAGTAACTAAACTTGATCCACAGTGAATCGTGGCATTCAGGGGATACATAGCTGGACAAACTGGCTTTGCGTAGCTCCTTATCAGAGAGAGGCCGCTACAGAGGCCGTATTATAAACGTATATAGATAGTAAAATGTTCTCAACGTATAGGAATCATTAATCAGCGGTCATTTTTCATACCAGGAACCAAAGAAGTCTTCAGCTCGCTGTGACTGATATTGAGGTTTGCATACTGTATAAGCACTAGTAGTAGTAAGACATAAGAAAGTGACTTTTAACTTCTAGTATATTCTAATGTATATGTGTACAGCAGGGATGTCCACCTTCACCCTAACCACCCTAACTTAACTAAAAAACCTAAAAAAGGTTCTATGACTTGTTACAACAGTGGAACAATGTTTGGTGTTATATGGAAACATTTTTTTATTAAGTTCTTCAAAGAACCATAAACACCAGGCCTCCATCATAAAAGAACCATTTAATTGTACAAGGAATCATTGACGTGTTCTTTGTAACGGTACTATCCACTGTCCTTAATAAAGAACCTTGTAAGACCCACTTTTAAAGGGTGTTAATATTATTATTATTATTATTATTATTATTATTATTATTATTATTATTTGAAGTTCATTCTAATCTGATCTGTAAGAAAGCCAAGTTATTTTTTTAAGATAAAACACCAAATTATCAGTATATTGTTTATTTATAGTGATGCTCACCATCTGTCTTACTCTCTACCTTCTACACTACCTGGCCACTTTATCAGAAGCCCCTCTCTCATAGCTCCACATTGCTGGTGTACAGTTACAGACTGTAGCTCATTTTTTGATGTCCATTCTCTAGTCTTTCACTAGTGGTCGTTTCTGACCACAGAGCCGCTCTTGTCTGAATATTTTTGGATAAATGGTCCACTCTCTACCAGTGACACTGGTGTGGATAAAAACTCCAGAAACACTACTGTCTGATACACTCGTACCAGCACCACACACCGTGAAAAGTATCAAGAAGAAACCTTGAAACTGTTTTAGAAAAAAAAATTAAAACTGTCGTCTAATGCAACGTTCCTAAATACTTGGAAGAAGTTTGAAGGCACTAAAGACGACTATGTAAGAGTCAATGGGATTTACTCAGAGCTCAATAATGCAATGCGCACATGTAGATCAGGCTACCCAACTGGTTTTCCTTATGTGTCCCTTCACTACCTGATAACACGTGGAATACAAAAACTCAAAAGTAAAGAACCTACGACAACGTATCGACGCACCAACCTTAAATTCGAAAGAGGTGCTGTAGGCCAGGAGATGCTCGCCTCCTCTTCAACCAGTGACGACCGTCTCAAGCAGTATGGAACAAATACTTGTTTTATGATCACAACACAGCATGGAGCAGACATATCCGCACTGTCCCCAAACGATGAGAAAGTGCTGATACCTCCTTATGAGAACTTTACAATCACAGATATCGAAGAACACAATAAGCTGGGGTGTGATGTTCTTTACACATTGAAGAGTGCTGGAAACTTCAACATCATGAAATGTGAATTGGCCAAGTTTCCTCATGGTCCAAGGCTTTAAAGCTTTAAAAAAGATTTAGTTGAGCTGCTGAGGAAATATGTTGATGTTTTATATCAGTAAGCAATCTCTGTGAAAAACATGTTTAAAAAATCCCAGAACTCTAACTAATTAACCTTGCCTGACTGTACTTTAAATGAAGAAATATTTATATAATATAAGACTATCTATATATATCATACTAGCCATATATATATATATATATATATATTATGGCAAGCCAAACAGGCTTTGATATATATGAAATGAACATTGATATATATAAAATAAACAACAAAAACTGTGGATCAATAAATGTGCATTAACAAACTCCAGGTGGAGCTTAAAGGAAGGGAATTCTGATAAAGTGACCAGTATATATACACAGTGATCCCTTGGACAGAGTGATCTGAGAGTGGCTGATATATGATGTGAAGCCACAGACAGGTGGAGCTTCAATATGTACATAATTTGACATGGTGCAGAAGAAGAGTCAGATGAGGCCATAACTTCTGTTTGAAAAATGCTCTTTTATTGAGAGCGAGGGAAAACAGTGCCACTTGAAAAGCAACTGAAAACTGAGGGAGGTCACTCCTAGCCCTACTATTTCTTCTGATGGTCACCAAACACAAACACACTCTCACTAACTCTGAGCTGGACACAAAATTAACACACTGTAACTGAAGAACAACAACATAGCAACATTAAATAACAATGTTAACAGTCTGTTTAGCAAGTGGGGGCATTTTATGCATTATAGCATTTTATAAATTATATTATTAATTTTTTATCTCAATGTTCGATCCATATATATCAAAGTTCATTGAATATATATCAAACTTCATTCCATATATATCAATGTTCATTAAATATTTCCTTATACATATATATATATATATATTAGTAGTCCATCCGTTTCTCTGCATACTTTGTTACCCTGTTCTTCAATGGTCTTGACCCCCACAGAGCAGGTACTATTTGGATGGTGGATCATTTTCAGCACTGAAGTAACACTGACGTGGTGGTGGTGTGTTAGTGTGTGTTGCGCTGGTATGAGTGGATTAGACACAGCAGTGCTGATGGAGTTTTTAAACATGGTGTCCACTCACTATCCACTCTATCAGACACTCCTGCCTTGTTGGACCACCAGGTAGATGTAAAGTCAGAGATAATAGCTCATCTATTGCTGCACAGTTTGTGTTGGTCCCTAGTCCTTCATCAGTGGTCACAGGAAGCCGTTGGCTGGATGTTTATAGTTCTCAGTCCAGCAGCACTGCTGTGTCTGATCCACTCACACCACCACCACATCAGTGTGAATGCAGTGCTGAGAATGATCCACCACCCAAATAGTACCTGCTCTGTGGGGTCCTGTGGGGGTCTTGACCATTGAAGAACAGGGTAACAAAGTATGCAGAGAAACAGATGGAGTACGGTCTGTAACTGTAGAGCTACAAAGTGAAACTATATGGTCAGTGGAGCTGATAAAATGTACAATAAGGTCAGATACAGGGAGGTGGACTTTATGATGGATCTTATGCAAACACTCTACTGTAAACTGTACAGGAAGACTGAAGTATCATAGCAGCTTTCAAATAAAGAGTTTAACAAAAGAGGTTAAATGTGGATCCACATTTGTTTACAGTATGGGAGAGGAGGCATGGCAGGTGGGTGGAAAAGAAAAAAAATGGGTGTTTGGAATGCTGGGTGTCGCATTGAAGCGGGAAACACATGCAAACCAGTCCTTCAATTGGTAGAGCGAAGATCAAGAGCTCACCTTGTACCACTTAACATCCACCATGTCAGGACTGGCACAGCAGTGATAGAATGACAGCAGACTGAGGAGTGGCGAGGCTATCGAGGGGCTCTGGAACGCCTGGGATACAGTCACTTTACTGTAAATCACAGTGTCTGCTACGTAGTGGTGCCCGCACTTATGATATTGAGAGAGCATGGCACACATTTAAGGAAAATGTGTGGGGGTTTAGGGGCAATAGAACTGAAGGTTTACTGTAAGACCACCTTAATGT